TTCGGTCAAATTAGATATTTTCTTCGACTTTTCTGACTACTGAATTGTTTTGGTATGGCGACTGTTGAATGGACAAAATACGCATTTGAAGGATCCTCTCCAGACCTGTTTTGAGATATGCTTGGAATAATAATTTGTGTCCCAGACAAAAAGAAAACAATTGATTTACCTCCTTTAAAGTCTTAAAATGACAGCTCATTCTCCATCGATGGAGCTCTGAATATGCACATTAACTATTAGACTCAATATGTATACTACTACAATGAAAAGTCCGTTCTCAGTGTATACACATTGAAGGTTTTCCCATCACACTTCTGTAAATTGAATATTAGAGCAGGATTGGCTATTCTCTACTTGTGATGTCACAACAATCATCTCTTACGTGCCATGTGTTAAACTGAGTTGAGCTCTTGACCTATAGACTTTAAACAGTAATCTGGTGTCACAATCTTCACATACATTAACATTGTTTTATAGCCTTTATTTAACCAGGTGAAAATCCCATTGAGATCAACGATCTCTTTTTCAAGGGAGACCTGCAGCACATTGGTTACACAACATGCCAAGTAAAATAAGCTGAATGCTCTCTAAATGATCATTACTTGCAGCCTCACATAGAGGAATTGTTCAGTGATGATTTTACAGCATCACTGATGGACTGTATTACTGTGTTAGGGGTTAAGAAATATATTTGTTGTACTATATCTTCCTTGTACAGTGGACTGTAGTTGCCTTGGTTAATACAGTCAGACAGCCTGTTTCCCTCCAGTCTGGACTCAACTGACCTTGTCTTTAAATGGGGCTCAGTGGACTGTGTGTGTGCGGAACAATCAACGATTTAAAAAACATATCATATTCAGCCCCTCCTTTGATTTTCTTTATTATGCCAGCCGTGTCTTAATAAAATCTAATTATTTCCGCTCGCAGGACGCTTTCTGCTGAGAAATTGGCAGAGGGGATGTGAGCTGATGTATGGGGAGACAGTCGCCTAATTAGAGCGTTAGAAATTGAATCTTTACAGCACACGGGTCATATAATTATCCTACTGTTAATTTAACGCTTACATTCTCATGCTGTTCATTTTTATTCCCTTAAATGTAGTTTGGCAACGGGCCTCTGTGCTCAGTGTTCCTACTGTAAGCGAGGAGGCAGCATGGCCCCTGTAACGGGGCCCTTCTCAGTGATTGAATAACTGAGGACCCTGCAGTCCAAATAACAAGACTCACATCATTTATGCATTGTTAAGCCATGTAATTGAAACGAGCCATAGTTTGCATATTACACCATTAAAATAATGTGCTTTGCGTTTCTCCCAACACGACTATTTAAGCCTGTGTGGCAATGTGGTAATTCCTTGAATTACAGCCTAATTACCACAATGTTCTTTTGATTTGGACAATTTCTATGTTACGCCACAATAATGTTCAATATTACCAGAATGAATTACTGAGCTGTGCCTGGAAACTTTTCCTCGTATGACTTAACCCTGGCAGCTTCATGTGCTATCAGTGCAGCTGGATTCACATCCATAAAGGATTATTAGCCTATGAAATGAGAGCCATTAAAGGCCCAATCAGTAATACTTAATTGAAGAGCTTGAGTTATACATGGAATATTCTCAACTGATCATTACAGGCCTTATTCAAATCACTGCTTACAGACATTATAAATGCTAACAGAACAACAACATTAGAAAACATAGCCTATTAAAAAGACTTTTAACTGTTAACTTTAAGTCAAACCAATTATCAATGTTATATTTGTGTGGCTGCAAAGTGTGCATTTAAAGCAAAGATATAACAAACTATGCATTTAATTAACAAAGGGTCCTTTTATTTATTTCAAGATGATGACAGGTGCTCTTTGTTTTGTGGAAGAATACTTTGACTTAAGTAAAAAGCAGTAATTCAACAGTGCAAATAAAGAAATGTCATAGAAACTGCATTGGAAAGTACTCAATCTGTACAATGGCCCATTTCAGAGTAACATGTTAAATTATTAAATTATAATTATTGATGCATTATTGCATTCATCACTTTAAATCACTTTAATGTTGCATCGAGTATACTTTTATATATATTTACTGCTGGGTAGCTTCTAAATCTCACAAACCAATCTTTTTTAACCACTAATAATAATAGAGACATTATATGTTTATTATATTTTGTTATAAGTAAGGTGAATATCCAAAGAAAGCTCTTTTGTAAATGTAGGGGTGTAAAAGTTACACTATTTGCCTCTGAGATGTAGCATAACATTGATGTACAAGCACCTTAAAACTGGTAATAAGAACAGTACTTAGTTTACCGTCCAACAGTTTTATAAAATAGCATCAGAATTTAAAAATTTCTATTTTGTCCACTAAAGCAGCATTAAGAGAAAACCACTTAAATCAGGTAGCAAGTTAAACATCCAGTCCAGATGTAAAGCAGGGGACGAGAACATGAGTAATTATCACTTGCCCTTTGTATATTATTCACACAGCTCAGTCGATACACATGACGTGTGTCCTTGTGTGAACTTCCCGAATAAATTAACATTCCTAAGAATGAATTGTAAGTGTGCATATAGACTTGTTTTCAGTTTTTACTTCACATTTGGATTATTTCTTGTGAAAATATTTCTTTGATAATTGCTTTTTGTATTGCCTTTTAATTAGGACCTACCTTCTAAGTTATTAAATAAAATGTCTAATTACAGTTTCAGTCATTTGCATAGTTTAGAAGTTAGAAATGTGGATATTGAGGAAGTGCCTCCATTGATTTATTGGTTTAATTTGTGGCCAGTATCTATTACTATATTGCTTGTGGATCAAATTGTTACAGGCCATATAAATGCTTTTAAATTGCATTTATACAGTAAGAAGTATTCATTCCTTCTAGTATTCAAAATGAAGGCACTGTTAGGAATTAGAAACTTCTGCCAAGCCACATTCTGTTTGCATTTTTCTCTCGGTGTGAGGAGCCGCTTTGAGGACAGACATAATCTCTCTCATCTTTTTCACTTCTTCTCGTCCTTTCTCCCTCTTCTCAGGGCCCTGTGCTCTTTACCCCTCCCTCCTTTATCCCTGCGAAGGCTTTGTCCCCACAGCAGAGAGCCTCTCTAAATAGAGGCCTTTAGATAGTCCAGGAACAGGGGAGAGGAGGGGGAGAGGAGGGGGAGGCAGCAGTGACGCGACTGCTGTTGTTTCATTTACCTCTCCCTATGGCAACCAGCAGCGGCCGGCCAGGAATGTCCCCTCTCTGGACAAAGTCCTGGTCCCTGAAGCTGACACTGGGGGGACGACAGCTGGGGCGGGGGGGGGCCCTCGCTGCCCTGCCTGCTCTGAAGGCCTGAGTCTGGACTTAATCCTCCTCTTCTCTCCTCTCTTTTCTCACTTCACTGCAGGATGAGCTGCAGAGAAGCTATTAACTCTAAAGTAGTTGTGTATAAAACCTGCAACATCATTCTAAATCTCTTTTGATAATGTAAAGAACCAAAAGGCTTTCAGCATGGACGCTCTAAAGATTCCACGTTGATCCTTTACTGTGTTGCAATTTTAAAGCACATTAACTGCATTTTTTTAAAGAAGCATATTGCATGTTTAAATGTATTTGATGTCCTTCAAGCTATATATAGAATCTAAACTTCAATCCTCCCTTCCTCTGTGTGTAGCCACTCCTCCCAGTGCATGCTGGTTAATTCAATTTACAGCCTGGTATGGCACAATAGTGGATTTGTTTACTTTATGGGCTGTAAAAGTGTTCATGTGCAGACATATGAAAGACGGTTACATTTACAAGACTTCATTGAGAAAAAAGTGCTAAGCTACACTTTCACAAACCCTGATGATAAAATGGCACTTTCTTTTGCATTTTAGCTTTTATAAGACTGGTTTAAAAAATATTTAAGGACGCAAGGATTAAATGGAGAAATGCAATCCAGGTTGTCAGTTTAAAAAAAGAGTTAGACACAACTTAATTTAAACTCCTACCAAACTCACTTGAAAGCTGTCAGCAAATGAAGTCCAACACTTTAATTTGTATGCAAAAATGTAATGAAATGTATTAAAATGTTTTTTTTTTTTTTTAATAATACAATCAATTTTATTAAAACGTGCCTGAGCTTTTTTCCTTTACCAGATATGTTACATTTAGAAAACAAGTTGTATTTCAGATATTTCTCATACACTAACAATAAGACAGTACACTTTATATAATACAACACATTAAGTGTTGTATCTGCTGGTATGTGAGCATGCATGTTGTTTTAGAACTATTTCGTTTGTTTCCCAATTACAGCAGAATTTAAGCTTAACGGTAATTTAAAAATGGAATGTCAGTTTGCAAAAAGAGTATCAAAACCCTATCTCATACAGTATACACAACGCTACACAAATGATACAGGCACATTAATATGCAAACAATGTCTAAGCAGAAATGTTGCAACACTGCATCCCTATAAATACATTCAACTGCATTTTCCTCTCGCACAGGCCTTGTCTTTGAAAAGCAGATTGTTGCATTTCAACAATCTTTGCTGAAATGCAATATTACGCACACGTTTCCATAGCCAAATGTAATATCATAAATATGCAATAACAAATAGCAACAACATGTAAAGTCTACCTCATTAAACACACAGTATATCCTGCACAGCAGAGCTCCTGTATTAATCTGAGTCCCCTGGATCTCAACTCCCCTCAGCCTCCTGATACCTGATTATCAAAGTAAATCTACTGTCTCTTACAGTTGCTCTGCTGATCCCGGTGCTCCGTCTCCCCATGCTGCACTCCGGCTCTCCGCTTCCCGGGAGCCTCAACTCGCACCTCTCCAACAAAGAGAGTAGTGTTTGTTGAGACTTCCCAGCAGCCAATCACCGCGTCGTTGCCCTTGGTTACCACGTCCATCATCCTGGGAAGTCCAATGAGCGGCGGGGGCGTGACGGAGTCCAGGTGCGCCTCGGCGTCCACTTGGCAGAGCGCCTGAGAGCCGCCTGTGGGCAGGAGAGGATCTGTCAAATGCGAGGTTCCTTCAATAAGAGAGACCAGTCCGGCTCCGAGAGTCATGGCGACCGCAGCGTCTAACCACTACAGCATCCTCACCTCCAGCGCATCCATCGTGCACTCGGAGCCCGGCAGCATGCAGCAAGCCACGGCGTACCGGGACGCGCAGAGCCTGTTGCAGAGCGACTACCCGCTGCAGAGCAACAGCCACACGCTCAGCCACGCACACCAGTGGATAACAGCGCTGTCCCACGGAGACACAGCCCCGTGGTCCTCCAGCCCGCTCGGCGCGGAGCAAGACATCAAACCCGCGGTGCAGAGCGCCCGGGACGAGATGCACAACTCCAGCAACAACCTGCAGCACCAGTCCCGGCCACCTCACCTGGTGCACCAGACGCACGTGAACCACCACGACGGCCGGGCGTGGAGAACCACCACCGCGGCGCACATACCGAGCATGGCCACGACGAACGGCCAAAGCCTTATTTACTCCCAGCCGGGCTTCGGCGTCAACGGGCTGCTCCCGGGCAGCGCACAGGGGATGCACCACCACAACCTAAGAGACACTCACGAGGAGCACCACAGCCCGCACCTCAGCGACCACGGACACCCTGCGTCCCAGCATCAGCACCAGCACCGATCGCAGAGCCACCACGACCACTCGGACGAGGATACGCCGACCTCGGACGACTTGGAGCAGTTTGCCAAGCAGTTCAAGCAGCGGAGGATCAAGCTGGGCTTCACGCAGGCGGACGTGGGACTCGCCCTGGGGACCCTGTACGGAAATGTGTTTTCCCAAACCACCATATGCAGGTTTGAGGCCCTGCAGCTCAGCTTCAAAAACATGTGCAAGCTGAAGCCTCTGTTGAACAAGTGGTTGGAGGAGGCGGACTCCACCTCGGGCAGCCCGACCAGCCTGGACAAAATCGCGGCGCAGGGGAGGAAAAGGAAAAAACGGACTTCTATCGAGGTAAGCGTAAAGGGAGCTTTGGAGAGCCATTTTTTGAAGTCCCCTAAACCGGCAGCTTCGGAAATATTGGGTCTCGCGGACAGTCTGCAACTGGAGAAAGAAGTGGTCAGGGTTTGGTTTTGTAACAGGAGACAGAAGGAGAAACGCATGACCCCTCCCGGAGCTCTGCCGGGGAGCGAGGATGTGTACGGGGACACGCCGCCGCACCACGGGGTCCAGACCCCGGTCCAATGAACTCTGCTGGACCGCTCCTCCAGGACATGTTTACCCTTTTTATTTATCCCCAATGTTATATATAAATCACTGAACTATGAGACTCTATAGTGGGTGTTTTATGTATAATAGATTGCAGTGACAATATCTGCAGTGAATATCTGGGAAATAAGTGAGGGGAGGACAGGACGTTTTCTTTTTCTTCCTGCAGAGCTAAAGGAACATAAGCCTGTGTTCTGTTCTCCGAGGATACATGCCCAGCACTGTGACTCCAGTCGACGCAGTTTCAAGGTGTAGCCCCTATTGTGTATTGAAATTATACTATACGACGAAAAAAAAGAGGGAGGGGAGGAGGGATACCTGGTTTTAGACGAAAAGCATAGCTGAATGGTTTCCATTTTTTATATATCAAATCACACAACAACACTGTTTTTTTTTCCTGTGCGTAAAAGGGAAAGCAAATACAAAGGCGTTTAGTTTTCTTGCTCTAAATTGTTGCGTCCAGCAGTGATGGGGATGTGTGTGGGTGGTGCAGGAGGGGGGTCAAAGGAGCTGCGTTAATGGAGTAAACTGGAGGCCAGTAAAGGCTGCAGCCCCAGTCCAGTGGAGTCCAGCTGGGGGTGAGCATCGCCTGAGTCCCATCTGTCAGCCAGGCACCAGCACACAGCCGCCAAACACTGCTTGGAAACATCCAGCTAGTTATTCAGTGAGGTCAGGATTTAGTTATAAACACATATTATAATTATTATAATTATTCTTATTCTTATTATTACCTGTATGGCTCACTGGCTAAACTCCTTAATAACTGGCCTGAGTGCAGTGATAATAAAAAGTATTTGACCTCTATCAGGAGTCAGACAGCAGTGTAAACAAAAGGTCCATGATATATTTTCACAAAACACGCGTTAAATGATATTCGTCCCCCCCCCCCCCCCCCCCCCCCCCCTCAGAGATTTCAGGAAGGGCTCCGTGTCGACTGATTGGATTATCTGGCACTTTTCCACAACATGATGGGCTATAGATATCTACACAAATATTACGTCACCAACTCTCCAGTACATTTGGATCCACTTTTGTAAATATTGTATAACTTTAAAAGTCATGGCTTCATCCATTTTTTTTTTCTTCACTGGGGCACTTTCTTTGGATTGATGTTTTCAAAAACAAACAGTTCTCGTCATATAGACTACCTACTGCCTTGTATGTGTGTGTTATTTAACGTTCATTTTGTTGCCGAAATTATGCTCGTTTACAGTTTGATATTTTCTTTGTGGCGCATTTTATTTCCAGTCGTCAGATTTGTTTTTATTAATGTGAAATCGATTTAATTTGTTTAAATGTCTAAGGAGTTCTGTTTTGCCATTTGATGTCCGCTCTGAAATTACATTAGGTTGTGTTTCCAATCAAAATATAGTGCTTTGAGGACTTCATTCTGAGGAATCGATAACAATTTTCTAAAGAATTATCCAACATGAATCAGACGTAGATGATGAAAACGGAGATGGTTAGTGTATTGAAAAACGAAAATGATAATAATAAGGCCTTTAGCTTTTCCCCCAGAACATATTTTTGTGACATTCCCCAAAAAATAGAAGCATATGATCAAAATTATTATTATTATTATTATTATTATTATTATTATTATTATTATTATTATTATTATTATTATTATTATTATTATTATTATTATTCACTAGGTATTATTATAATTTGTTTGTAAGGTCGTTGCCATGCATTTCACTTCAGCCATTTTGTTCATCTTCGTCTTTGTTGCTTTTTTTTACATGGGGGGAGAAACTGCTCGTAGACATTTTATTTTATTTTTTAGTATTGTTAATGAGATTGTAATTTATTATACAATGGCTTTTTATAGATGACACAAAGTGCGAGATATATATGAAATAACACCGAGAAGGCTTTTGTTTTGTAGGGGAAGAATTAAGAGAGACATATTTTAGATTTCTCAGCGGCATTGCGACAGCCTAACACCGTCACAGCTAAATGTAAAAACATCTTTTTCTCCGTGCAGAACCTTGCTTTTCGTTTTATGCAAAAACAGAAATCCAGGGACTTGTTTTTCTCATGTGGAAACATCTTATTTCCCCCCTCCTGATTTATGTTATCCTGCAGAGAACAACACGCACCATGGCATTGAAATATTTCCTCAGTAGCTTTAATGAACTCATAATTCACAGGAAGTTGTGGGATGTAGACCTGTAGCAATCCGACGCTGTTTCTTCTCTTTTTGTTTAAATGCTTGTTAAACCAGTCATTTTGGTTTTTGGGGGGATATTATAGGCTATGTCATATTCACTGGATGAACTTGGGCTAGATAAAGCAGAGGTGATAAAACGCCTGACACACGAACAACGGACTTGCACATTTTTAAATAATGGGGTTGATATTAAACAGCTTTTTTCCAACGTTGAGACTAAATGTATTTTTTTGTTCAAACTGCTGCACTATCTGCTTGACATCTGTGGTGTTAAAAAAGGAAAAAAGAAAGGGGCTCCTTTGCTTTGAGCTCATTGGTTTGGGTGGAATTAATGGCTGAGAGAAAATCAGGGTTGATGAATGGAAGATTGTGAGCCGATGATGTGTTGTTTCTGCCCCGGGCTGCTTTTAAATGGACTGGCTTTGGCTGGGAAAACCACAGCTTCCATCCAGGGTTAAATTAGGGGTTCCCAAAGTGGGGACCGAGGACAAATCGAGGTCTTATGGAGGATAGAAAGGGGTCCAACATTATTATTTATCTGCTGTTTTATTTGGAGCTAGAGGTTTCACTTTATCTGCACATTAATGGTATTGTTAATTAAACAACAAATATATAGATACCAAAGGATTAACAGCATTTTAAAATGTATCTTAATCCCTTAAATGATAAGCATACTTTCTCTGATATTGGTCTAAGATTCGTTTTCCTGGTTGTCCTAATAGGAAAAAACAAGACAACATATTGCCTTATATTGGTTATTTTTGGTTTCATTATACAGTATCTGACAAGGCTGAGCCCTTTAAACTAGAGGTTAACACAAAAAAAGAGATTTTAAAACAGTTTGCCTGTTTTTAATCTAAATGCATGGATTACACTTGTTCCATCAAAACAGAAAGTGTTGGATCAATGGATAACAAATACTTAGAAGCTTACGAGAAAAAACATTGCTCTGGGAATTTAAGATAACTGTAATACTGACACTGTTGACCCTGATGGTATTTTCCTATTCAATATGTTATGTCACTTCTCTCTAATATCCCCTTAGGAACCTGTGGTGTGATTTATATATGAACACCTCTCTGAAATCTATTTTATTTGGTGCTATTTCCCTGCCACTTCCGGCTTATCTACAAAAAAACAAATGTTGCCCTGTGCTGTTATCATATTAATACGAATTACAATCGGATTATTCTCCATTTCTCTTCTGTGCAAAGAAGAGAGTGAGATTTACCTCAGCATTACTGAGCAAACAAGGTTAATCAATTAATCAATAGCTGATCGGTTGTTAATGGCGTTGGCCAGTAATCATTTAAAAAAAGTAAACTGCTCTTTTAATTCATATTTCCACTGAATTAAGCAATACACGTAAAATAGCCTTATTACATGCACTCATACTTTAATTGTGATTTTACAACCATGTCTGGAGTTATAGTTTTTTTTTGGACGGTATAATGACATGAAAGCAGCGTTTCTTCCATTGTGAAAGATACCGTAATACTCCCATAATATACCCAGGACTAAAGAGTATACAGCTTCTTATTTAAAAGTGTTTTTTTTACTGACCTTATTGGCTCTGATTGTAGGCCACTTTTAATCAACGGCAATATTGTTAATTGACTTCTATGGGATAGTAAGCCGGTGGATATTATCCCTCAGAGATACAGAAGGTGTTACCGATTACAAAGCACTGTATCATTTTCACATGCTGTTTTGTTGTTGGTGCAGGGAAATAAAAGATGTCCCTCTCTGCATCATCATCGCTCGCCCATTTGACCTGCCATTTGGATGCCTGGCACGAAGCAACGACCGGAAATAAAGCCCTCTCTCTCTGTGATCTCTGAAGAAGACTTTTGTGGAGCCAGTAATCTAAAAAGTGCGCCCTGGTGCCCTTCATCCGCTCTCTAGCAGATGCGATTAATAGCGCGTCGCGTTAATTACACCTTCTTTTTTATTTAGGTGACTTGAAATTTCCCATTAGGCTCCCAGGGAAGAAAAAAACACACATACACAGACTCCAGTGTTGTGGTGCTAATCCGTGGAGAAACACTGAGGGAATGATCGGTGTTCTAGCGCCATCTAGCGGCAGCCGCATGACCCGAGGGTGAGCCCAAGTTTATGTCATTTCATTGGAAAAGAAAAATCAATTAGATACACACATCGATGCTGAATATGGACTTATTGGCAGAAACTACAGGCAAAAACATTGGTATTAATTCACTGGTTAATTGTGGAATTTGGGCTATTTTGCTTCCATTACATATCTTCATTTGGACTAGTGGAAGGAAAAATATCTATATCTATCTAATGAAACTTCTCAAGTTGATGCATGAAGAAAAGGGGAGACATCCCAGATGAGTCGGGTAACACTTTTAACTGATATACTCCAGAATCAAATGTCCCCTGTTGAGTGCTTGTATTTAGTCAGCTATGTTTTGTATTAAAGGTTTTTTGAAATGTTTATATATGCCACTGGGGCATTACCTTCTGCTAACTTTTGGTCACAAGTACTGTATAGATAAACACCTAAATGGGTATTTGGGATGTGTGTATTCCCTCTAGCCTAAAAGCAAAGAATGCCTATTATCTAAAAATGTACCAGCAGATGAAAAAAGCTGTCTGCCAAAACACAATTTTTAGTAACACGTGTCTCTTTACATGGATGAGAGTAAGGTGTAAAACACAAGAAATTAGACATTTTACATAAAACACAGACATTGAAACGTATTTTAAGATGTATGAATAAATCAAAAATAATGATTAAATGAAAATTAAGAAATAGTCAAATCCAGTTCCGTTTTTATAGAACTAGATGAGTCTCAGTTTGTTGGTTGATTGGTTCGTAACCTGTGATTTTCGTTAAACCATCTCAGTGTTTTCTGCAAACTGGAGAATTTTGGGCAGGAGTTGCAACCGTTTCAATATTAATCAGCCTATATTTACCAACTGACAAATGTATTTTCTTTGAAAATATTTAGAACATTTCCAAAAATCCAACTGATATAATTATTTCAATGCAATGTAAAACAATGTAAAACATTAGATTTACAACGTTGACACAAGCTCATCATTAAAGACATTTGAAAAGGTTTTGGGAAGAAATATTAACTTATTGGTAAAGCATGTGGTCATATGTTGTTGTTTTTGAAAACAGCACAGGAAAGCGATGATTTTTCTTATTTCCAGGAAGGAAGCCCCCTATTAGTTCTGAGAACTGTAGTGTTTTATTAAGTGCAACACATTCCTCCTTAAGGTATCAAAAGTCAATATGTGTTCTACCAAACGGTTAAAAAACACCATCAAATGGTATCCAGAGTCATCTGTCAAACTAAAAATACCAGATCCAGCTTTCCTAAATCTGTTTGTTGTCACTTTGAAATGGGAAATCTTCGGATTATGAAACAAATTGGCATTTGACATGCCAAGAAGGAGAAACACAGGTGTAACTAATG